TGCGTTAATAAAATAACTTAATCTCTAACAATATTGTAGAAAGACATACAAATGCAAAAGATGTCGACTTTTTATGGAATGAACACGTATAACAATGTTTAAATTTATTATTTGACTTTTAACGGGTGATCTATATTGAAATATCCATACCCTCTAAAAATGAATTAGTCAAAAATGACTAATTCAGTAGTTATTAGTGGCTGCTTTTTCACTTGTACCATGGTTAACTATGGAATACCATGGTATCCCAAAATTTAACAGGCAATTATTATGTAAAATTGTCCCCTGAATCCGAAAATACCGTCAAAAATTATGAAAGTGGAGCAATTTTTGAGATATATATATCTATAGTCAATCCCATATTAAATGAAAATCTGACTATATCTCAAAAACTGTTTTACTTTTTTAACTTTTGACGACATTTTCGGATTCAGGGGAGAATTTTACATAAGAATTAGCTGTTAAATTTTAGAACACCATGGTATTACATGGTTAACCAAGGTACAAGTGAAAAAGCACTAATAACTAGGGATGGGATTTTAGTTATTTTACCTTTTTTTAACCGATGTAAATATTTGAAAACCAATAATGCCAAAATGTGTTTTAAAAGATTTTCTTTTATATGAACCTAACTTGTTTTCACCTTTTTTACCTTTTTTGAAGGTTTTTGCTTTTAACTACCTTTTTTATACTTTTGTTACCTATTTTTTAAACTTTTTTTCACCTTTTCACCTTTTTTGGAGGTTTTTGCTTTAAACTACCTTTTTATACTTTTGTTACATATTTTTTAATTTGTCAGTTTATTTTCACATATTTGTTACCTATTTTTACTTATTTTATTTTTTTTGTTCTTTTTAAAATTTGCGCCAATATTTTATCCAGGGCGTGCGGTATAGAATTTTTTCTTATGGTTAAAGACTGTAACAGTAACTTTCTTTACAGTTACCTTCTTTGTAGTTACTCACTACTAGTGAGCTTATGTTCTGTCATAGAACTTCTGTGTAGTGAGTGTCACTCAGTAAAACACAGTTTATTGCATAGAAATAGTTTATTGTGGGTATGTTCTGTGTTTGGGTATGCGGCTAAACAAAATTATAAACGAAACTTAAACTTTTAATGATTTTTTTTACCTAAAATGCTGTTTTTTTAACCCAAAATGCTTTTTTTAAGTACCTTTTTAGTTACCCATTTTTCAGTTTTTAGTACCTAAATATCCCATCCCTACTAATAACTATTAAATTAGTAATTTTTGACTAATTCATTTTTAGAGAGTACGAAAGTCACTTTACTGATGAATATGGTTATGATTGCTGGCAAAAATGCGTGGGCTTTAAAAAATCTTTTAGTTTTGCATATTTAATTATTTTTGCAAAAAAATAAGTTTTAATAAAAATGTGTTTTTTAAATAAAATTTGATCCAGTTCTAAAAAACTAACTTAAAAATCATAAAAAAGTTGTTATTTTATTTCAATGAACCGTAAAAATCTAAAAAAAAACAAATCTTTTTTTCAATGGCGTCCATCGTCACCTCCTAGTTTTGTTCACGAAAATGGCGTAGTCAACAAATTAACCAAATTTGTCCACATACCGACGGTCAATAACAACACCTTGAAAAGACGTCTTACCGATGTCGGTAGCTCGAACCCATACAGCACAAGATGTCCATTGGACGTCAAATGGATTTACTTCCGACGAAGTTTGACACCTCCAGTCATCATCAACTACCTATTTTCCCCTCGTAACGACCTACCTAACCTGAAAATCATATGTCAAACTGAAAAACTGCGAGCTTTTTTTGTTAGGGAAGCTTCGCTAATTCGGTCCAATTTTGGTACTAATAGGGAGTTTTTAAGTGTTGTCTACGCTATTAGTATTTTAAAGCGGTGTATGTTAAGGATTTGGGGAAAGTGGAGCCCGTGCCGCATAAGTGGAAAAAGAAGGGGACACTCTGCATGAACAGTAAGAAATGGAAAAATTAAAATTATACGGATAAAAATATGTAATATTTACATAAAAAATAAACGCATAAATTATTACGGTTATTGAGTGATTTTACCGAATATATTCTGTAAAAGGTAAATATTTTACAGAATAAAACATTGGCTATTCTGTGGCCAACGTAATATTCTGTAATTTTTTCTTACTGTGTGGTTCCCTAAATCAGTGAGCCAAAGGATTCTCTTTCGAGAAAAAATTAACGCTGTGGCTCCCGTCCCGAGGCGGGACTTAAGTTCAGTCCCGATTGACGTCATAATTTTAAGATTTGTTATGTTATAATAAAATAATAATAATAATAAATTGTACCTGTATACATGTTAAGAGCACATTAGTTACTGTATAAAACCAAACCAACCCAAACTCAACAACACAACCCAACCGACCCCGCCCCATTGGGCCCCCCCGCCCCATTGAGCAAAAAACCCAACTAAAATGGGCAAATTTATCTTACGATAAAAATAAAACACTTTTTAACAAAGAAACAACAAATTTATAAAATAAAAAAAATAAAAAAAGTTTGACAATTTCTAGTAGAATCGAACCCGGTACCTCTCGCATGCCAAGCGACCGCCCTACCATCTAAGCCATCCAGCTTGACACCAATTATAAAAGCTCGGGGAATAAAAACGGATTTACAGTGTGTGACGTCTGTCGGGATCGAAGTTAAGTCCCGCCTCGGGACGGGAGCCACATCGAAAAATTAATAGTTCTATTAATAAAAAAAATTGGAAGCAATATAAGTGCAAGGTATTACCGTATTAGCACAAGGCTATTCAACCTTTAAATTTGCCACGGATGCTGCAAACAATAACTGGTATCTCAGTTTCAGAGAAATCAGCATCGATCTGAACAAGAGCAGCAGCCCCCATACATATATTGAGTACTAAGAGAGAGGTGAAACCTTCCCTAAAATATAAAGAGTATGATGATGTACCATCATATAAATTGGCTAAAGAAAATTTTACACCGAAACTAGCCAAAAAAGTGTGTCAGAAAAAGGCTGATGAAAACACTACAAACATTCTTTTTTTCTTTTCTTTTGGCATTTTTTCTTTGATTTTAATATAGGTAGTTTATGTATACTATTTTCTTCTTCTTTCTTCCAGACTATATTCCCGTCGAACAATTCTCGTAATTTTTTTTTAACCAAAGAGATAGTTACTACTTGACGTTCAACCGACGTAAATATAAGTCAAAAAAAATTTACTTAACAAACAAGGAAACACTTTCCACTACACGGTAGGCAGGAAGCATCGATAGGTTGCACAAAAATGTCGACAAAAACTGCAAGCTGGGTTGCATTTGTTGATGATTATAGGTGCAAAATCCGTTGGAATTAAAATCCTAACTGCTCCTTTTTAAAAGTTATTCATATTTTTATATTTCAGATCGGGGAAATAGATGGCACTATGTCCACAAAAAAAAATTATTTTAATTGTTCAACGCATTCCAAAATAATGGGGTGTTCCCGTCTTATTTAGCACACCCTGTATATATATTATTATAGGTATAGGTACTATTTATATTACATAAATGAATACCAATAGTATCCAATACTAAAAGTTTGGGCATAATTATTAAACAATAGTTAATAATAATTATTGGAAGCAACTCCCCCATATTACGTAGTAGACTGTGCATTTATAACTGTCATTTTATTAAATGTCATTTGCGATAGCGTGGCTACGCGTTGTACAACAATTGTAGAGTTCTTGTTAATTTTGTTATAACAATATAGTGATAAATAAATAAAATATCTAATTGTATATTTATTGGTAAGTTGTTAACAACGTCTTTGTAATTATTATTAGGTATTATCAGTATTACCACTCGATTCTGTCGCATTAACTGCTCGTGCATGCTCCAAAACACTTTTTTTACTTTTTGTTTTGAATTTTTATTTCGAAATAAAAAAATATGCCACTAAAAATGTTGTACTATAAATAAATACACATTTTATTACCGAAAAACAAAAAAAAAAGAAAATGCCGAATAATAATAATAATCTATATGTATATAATAATTACAACAACTGGAGGGGCAGTCAAGTGTTTCCCGCAATAAAAAAGTAAAGTTTAAATAATTGAAGGGTGTTCGGTACAAACAGGCCTGTAGGCTAAGTGTCATTTTTCATTATTTTGTTATTTTTGCGTAAAAACATTCAAAGTACCATCAGCTATACCCTCAAAAAGTGGTAAGTGCCAAGATTGCCGGACACAGTTGGAATCCAATATCAAATCCAATCCAGTAATAATTTAGTTTTTTTTTAATATCTCTGTTTTTGAATTTTGGCACTTACCCTGTTTGTACCGAACACCCTTCAATTAATATTATAAGAGTTTTCCAGCCAATTTATTTATATTTTCTTGTTTTAGAAATCTCATTGATATATGTATACATATATATATATATCATATCAGAAGAGTAAATAATATAATGAATAGTCGGGTAAATAGTCAGCATCCGCTTTATAAATGCGATCATGAAGAAAATCGCTCAAAAGTATGCGCTCTCTGTGGGAAAAAAGTTATTTTCCAAAATAAACCTTCCCATCATTTCTTGCTATCTGAAAAACACATTGAAGTTATAAAAAAGCATATCAATGATGAATTTAATATTTATAATAGTAAATTCCCAAAAAGTTTATGTAGCTCTTGCCGACTAACTATAAATGAATATGGAAATGATATTTTTAAAAGACCTCGTCCAACAATGCCCAATTACAAGGATCTTAAATTATCAAAAGAAACAAGAGCGATGGGTTGTAATTGTTACATCTGTCTAACAGCACGAGTTACGAGTCATAAAAAAAATAAAAAAGGTAGAGGTCAAATTAGGGATTTCTCTACAAATATTGACGTAAACAATTGTTTTGACGATACTTCGCAACAAAAAGATTTACTTTCTAAAAATGAAGCAAAGCCAACCAAACCGAGAACTTCTACTGAATTATGTAACAGTTGTTTTCAACAAATAGGTAAAGGCATATCACATTCTTGCAGAGGTCCTTCTACTTCTAATGCTCGTGAAAATATTTTGAATATAGTACAACAGTTACCCGAAAAACAGCAGAACCAAATAATAACTAAACTTTTGAAAAGAAAAATATCCAACAATGCATTGTTGGATATTAATGATAACAAGGCTAAAGATGAGCTCGTGTTAAATACTCTGGGATCGAAGGTTCGGGTAACTGTAAATAAAAAAAAAGAAAAAGAAGTAAGATTTTCTGCCGAAAAATTAGATAACTTCCAAGCTAATACTGGATCGTCTACAAATTACATGAAAAAATTGGCTAACTTCATTCGTAGTTCTGCGGGTAGAAAATCAGTTCCCATGAATTATAATCAACATTTGTATAAAAAATCTAATATGCTGGAACACCTTTATAAAGATGGTTTCTACGAATTCGAAACATCCAACGATGGAATTAAAAAGAGGCCAGTTGTGTATGCTACTGCATCAGAACTCGTAGACTTTATCTTTGAAAAACGAAACATTGAACACATAGAACAATCAAAAATAAAAGTAATGGCAGATGGAGGACAAGATTTCTTTAAAATTTCTCTTTCAATATCAATTCCAGAAGACGACTTGAAAGAAAATGACTTGGATAAAAGTAAAAACGTTTCAACTTACTCTACTGGTGGAAGTATGGCAAATAAACGCAAATTGACTAGTGTGTTTAAATTGCTTTTATTAGGCATAGTGCCTCGGATTAAAGAGACCTATGATAATTTTAAAATTTTGGTTGAATTGACGAAACTCAATGAGATTCCCTTTAAATTTCTTGGAGATTTAAAGCTCGTTCTATTGGTCAATGGGCAGCAAACTGCAACAGCTTCTTACCCTTGCCCTTATTGCTTCGTCACATTAAATGAATTAAAAAGTTATGATAAAATGATTGAGGAAAATGATATAAGCAGTGATGACAAAAATCTTGATTTAAAGACTTACAAACATTTAAAAGATGACTACTTTAAATTCAAGAGCTTGGGTAACGACAAAAAAAAATCTAAAGAATGTCGCAGTACAGTTCATCACCCTTTATTTATTGAAGACGGTACTACTGAAGATGATAACATGTACGTACTTCAGAAGTGTATTCCTCCTGAACTACACCTATTACAAGGGTTTGTCAACCATCTTTTCTGGGACGGTATAGTTAAAATTGAGGAAATTGGAAAAGATAGAGCTTTATTGTGGCCGAATAAATTAGGTATATCTCATAAGAGCTATCAAGGAGAAATTTTTGAAGGCAATCAATGTCGGAAATTACTTAAAGCGGCTGATAAATTGCAGGATCCTGAAATTTACGAGCTTGCAGGACCACTTCGTTTACAGCCTTATATTGCTGCATTTAAAGCTATGAATAAAATTGTTGAAAAGTGCTTTGCTGCAAAAAAAGCTGATCTTACTGATTTTAACAAAAATTTAAAAGAACTCCGTGAAGCCTTAAAAAGTACTGAAATTTCTCAAACACTCAAAATTCATATTATCCTCGAGCATTTGGAGGAAGCAATCATATTCTTGAATAATGATGGCTTAGGTTTATGGTCCGAGCAGGCTGGAGAGTCAGTTCATAGCGTGTTCAATAAATTTTGGGATAGATTTAAAATAAATTTGCTAGATGAACCATCTTTTATAAGTCGCTTAAAGAAAGCTGTTGTTACATTTTCATCACAGCATATTTAAATTTACAAACTTAAATTAAAAAAATTAAAAAAAAAATAAAAAAAAAAACAAAAAAACCACAAACAAAATAGAAAAAAATTTTAGCCTAAAAATTTTAACCTAAAAACTTACGTAAAATTCTGTATTATTCTCTTGCATAATAAAAATTCAAACGAGATAATACTTTTGATATTTATTCCAAATTGCCCCTATCTGAAATATAAAAATATGAATAACTTTTGAAAAGGAGCAGTTAGGATTTCAATTCCAACGGATTAGGCACCTATAATCATCAACAAACACAACCCAGCTTGCAGTTTTTGTCGACATTTTTGTGCAACCTATCGATGCTTCCTGCCTACCGTGACTAAAAAACCTTATCACAACCAAAATTTAAACGTCGGAAATTTTACTAGAAATTACTTTCCAATTAACGACGTCGGAACAAACGTCTCTAATGCCGACTACCAACTGCGTACTACAAAATTACGTTAAGCCGACGTCGAAAAATGACTTCGGTTACAAAGTTATAACCCAACCGCAATTTTCACTTAAAGCGACGTCGAGCATAGTGCAAGTTTAGTCGGAAGTCAGAAAAATGTTTATTGGGTTAAGGTATAAATTTTTAAATATTTTATGCTTTCGACTTTTATTTTTCGACCCTAAAGGATTTTGTTTATTGAATATTTTATTTTTAATATTATAAGTAAGTATGCATAAATCAGAGTAACTACACTTTTTTGTAGGAAATTTAATGCTTCTATAAAATAATAATAATAATAATATGGTATTTCAATGGTATTTCTATGGTGGTCCTTCTAATCTCCATACTCTCGAAAATGGAGTACCTCAGGGCTCCACTTTGAGCGTAACTCTCTTTTCAATTGCTTTAAATAAAATCTGTGATATATTAAATGTAGGTAAATATTAAACGTAGTGTGTATGTAGATGATATCATGATCTTTATATCCGGTCCGATAAGATCAAATATAAATAGACAGATGCAAATGGCAATAGACGAAATCGTACGATCTGGCGAAAGCAGAGGTTTCAAGTTTTCCCCCACGGTGGGGGCCCCACCAAATCTAAATCTATGCATTTCTGTCATTTGCGAACCCCTCATTACCGTCCTGTTCAACACTAAAGGGTAATTCTTTAACGTGTGTGCCCGAATTAAAGTATCTTGGTATTATTTGGGATGAACGCCTTGCTTGGAAAAAACTCGTAGTGTACCTAAAGGGAAAAGTCTCCAAAACCCTTAACCTAATTAAATGCCTCTCCCATACAAAATGGGGAGCACACCGAGATATGCTACTCACCCTTTTCAAATCATTAGTTATCTTTAAATTAAACTATACGAATCCGGTCCTAAATCCACACTGCAACCCCTAAATGTGCCACATAATACCGGAATACGATCCGCCATAGGAGCCTTTCTAATAACAACCGTTCATACGGTACAGGTAGAATCTAGAATTATGTCTCTGGAAAAAAGACGAAACCTGTTAGCCCTTATCTGATTAACGACATCATGTCAATGACTACTAGGTATACACCGTTTATTTCCAAGGCCAAATTAATGGCCGAAGAAATACACCTAAATATGCCGGTTGGCGATGGATCGTTCCTTCCATTTTATCCACCCTGGTCTGCCGAGTATCTTAATGGTGTTATTTCTCTGAAACTTAAAAAAAATCAAATCACCAAAAATATAAAAAACCTTTCAATGGAAAAATGTGAGTGAGAAATGGTCAGAGACGAAAACCTTTCTTAATCAAGTTACGGACTCGGTGACTGGAAGCAAAACAGCAACCCTAAAACGTAAGGAGCAAGTCGTTGTAACACGATTACGTTTGGGTCACACCAAGATAACAAAGACTTACCTCTTGGAGGGTGCCGCTCTACCTACGTGTGAAGGCTGTAGAGTAGGGTGATTCATTTCCGCAAAGTTTTTGTTTTCTTCGGTGCTCAAGCAAAATATTAATCTGCATATAGAAAAAAAAATTCTCAACAATTTTGAGCTCTTAATATCAATTTTAAGTACTTGCAGTTTAAATTTAAAGTTTTCCCATTTAAAATGCATGTAAAAAAAATGTTTTTTTTTTCAAATTTCTAATGCTTATCCACCTTTGACAATATTGCAAATCGGTTTAATACACCTTATGGGGAATTCCACGCTCTTTAAAATTGCTTTTGAGGTTTTTTTTTTAACTCGCATTGGTTCACCAGTAGGAGTCGTCAAAGGACAGTTTTTGAAAAAAATCGTTTTTTTTTTAATTTTTTTTAACAAACCGCAAAAAGTAGGGAGAAAAGTTTTTGTTTTCTTCGGTGCTCAAGCAAAATATTATTCTGCATATAGAAAAAAAAATTCTCAACAAGTTTGAGCTCTTAATATCAATTTTAAGTACTTGCAGTTTAAATTTAAAGTTTTCCCATTTAAAATGCATGTAAAAAAAATGTTTTTTTTTTTCAAATTTCTAATGCTTATCCACCTTTGACAATATTGCAAATCGGTTTAATACACCTTATGGGGGAATTCCACGCTCTTTAAAATTGCTTTTGAGGTTTTTTTTTGTAACTCGCATTGGTTCACCAGTAGGAGTCGTCAAAGGACAGTTTTTGAAAAAAAATCGTTTTTTTTTTAAATTTTTTTTAACAAACCGCAAAAAGTAGGGAGAAAAGTTTTTGTTTTCTTCGGTGCTCAAGCAAAATATTAATCTGCATATAGAAAAAAAAATTCTCAACAAGTTTGAGCTCTTAATATAAATTTTAAGTACTTACTATTTAAAGTTTTACCGTTTAAAATGCATGTAAAAAATATATTTTTTTTTCAAATTTCTAATGCTTACCCACCTTTGACAATATTGCAAATCGGTTTAATACACCTTATGGGGAATTTCACGCTCTTTAAAATTGCTTTTGAGTTTTTTTTTTTGTAACTCGCATTGGTTCACCAGTAGGAGTCGTCAAAGGACAGTTTTTGAAAAAAATCGTTTTTTTTTTAATTTTTTCTAACAAACCGCAAAAAGTAGGGAGAAAAAAGAGCTGAATCATAAAAAAAAAGTTATCCAACCAATATTTAATGAATTTACAGCCATTTTTATAACTTAAAACGTAAGAAATTGATAATTACCAACTCATAATGTTATTTAGATTGATTTTTTCTATTTATTATCATTATATTTCCCTACACTAAGAAGTTTTTTAAAATTATTAATTTCTCACTTATAATGAATATGAAAACAACAGATAAATTCATAAAAAAATAGCAAAAAAATATAAATGAAGATTATTTAATTTTTTGAAGCGAAATTTGAAATATGTATGTGTTGTTTTCATATTCATTATGAGTGAGGGAAATATAATGATAATAAATAGAAAAAATCAATCTAAATAACATTATAGGTTGGTATTTATCAATTTCTTACGTTTTCAGTTATAAAAATGGCAGTAAATTCATTAAATATTGGTTGGATAACTTTTTTTTATGAATCAGCCCTTTTTTCTCACTACTTTTGGCAATTTGCTCGAAAAAATAAAAAAAAAAAGATTTTTTTCAAAAACTGTCCTTTGACGACTCCTACTGGTGAACCAATGCGAGTTACAAAAAAAACCTCAAAAGCAATTTTAAAGAGCGTGGAATTCCCCATAAGGTGTATTAAACCGATTTGCAATATTGTCAAAGGTGGATAAGCATTAGAAATTTGAAAAAAAAAAACATTTTTTTTACATGCATTTTAAATGGGAAAACTTTAAATTTAAACTGCAAGTACTTAAAATTGATATTAAGAGCTCAAACTTGTTGAGAATTTTTTTTTCTATATGCAGAATAATATTTTGCTTGAGCACCGAAGAAAACAAAAACTTTTCTCCCTACTTTTTGCGGTTTGTTAAAAAAAATTAAAAAAAAAAACGATTTTTTTCAAAAACTGTCCTTTGACGACTCCTACTGGTGAACCAATGCGAGTTAAAAAAAAAACCTCAAAAGCAATTTTAAAGAGCGTGGAATTCCCCATAAGGTGTATTAAACCGATTTGCAATATTGTCAAAGGTGGATAAGCATTAGAAATTTGAAAAAAAAAACATTTTTTTTACATGCATTTTAAATGGGAAAACTTTAAATTTAAACTGCAAGTACTTAAAATTGATATTAAGAGCTCAAAATTGTTGATTGTTGTCAAAGGTGGATAAGCATTAGAAATTTGAAAAAAAAAACATTTTTTTTACATGCATTTTAAATGGGAAAACTTTAAATTTAAACTGCAAGTACTTAAAATTGATATTAAGAGCTCAAACTTGTTGAGAATTTTTTTTTCTATATGCAGAATAATATTTTGCTTGAGCACCGAAGAAAACAAAAACTTTTCTCCCTACTTTTTGCGGTTTGTTAAAAAAAAATAAAAAAAAAAGATTTTTTTCAAAAACTGTCCTTTGACGACTCCTACTGGTGAACCAATGCGAGTTACAAAAAAAAACTCAAAAGCAATTTTAAAGAGCGTGAAATTCCCCATAAGGTGTATTAAACCGATTTGCAATATTGTCAAAGGTGGGTAAGCATTAGAAATTTGAAAAAAAAACCATTTTTTTTACATGCATTTTAAATGGGAAAACTTTAAATTTAAACTGCAAGTACTTAAAATTGATATTAAGAGCTCTACCTTGGTGAAAATTTTTTTTTCTATAGGTAGATTAATATTTTGCTTGAGCACCGAAAAAAAACAAAAACTTTGCGGAAATGAATCACCCTACTGTAGAGGCACTCTTTCTGTAAAACATATTCTTGTCGAT